CGTCCCTTCCCATTTCTTACCTGCTGACAAAGCTCTCTGGTGGGACACACGATGACTGCGATGGGCCCCTCTCCCGGCTCCAGTTCCTTTTGGTCCATGATGTGAACCAGCATGGGCCAGATAAAAGCTGCAGTTTTGCCACTGCCAGTTTTTGCAATACCAATCATATCGCGTCCAGAAAGAGCTATGGGCACACCCTACAACCCAGATGGAGAACAAAAACAACGAATTCTTCATGAAATATATATAAAAAAATAAACTTTCAATAGTCAATAGTGGCACAACCTTAAGATAAACTTGCATTATACCTGGCACTGAATCGGTGTGGGCTGAGTGTACTCAGACTTGCGGATTTGGTGCATTAGCTGCTCATCAAAGCCGAAATGAGCAAAGCTAGTAGAAGGTTTTGGAGGGGCAGCACCAGATACCTGAGAAAGACAAGGTAAAGTAGCAGAAAACAAAAGAGATTCAGAACAATTATAATGATGAAAACAGTTCACACACAAAAAAAGGACTATGTCTCCATTGTATCTGTTCCCAACAGCCATCACTGCAAGGAATGTTGCTAAAAAGTGGATTGGGGCCAAAACAAAAAAGACTGAATCTGCCATGTTTATCATTTCACCTATATAACATTTATATACTAGTATGTATTAGGGATGCACCGAAATTAAAATTCTTGGCCAAAGCCAAAATTGAATATAATGAAAAACTTAACAACTTTCCTGAATACCACACAAAGTTTTTCACATTTTTTTCACGATTTTTTAAAAACCACTGCATAAATTAAATAGTCAAAATGTTCTTTTACTCAATGTTTCCCAAAGGATTTGGAGAGACTATTGGCGGTAGGTCCAAGGCCCAAGAGGGTCCGGTAAAGTAAATTACATGTGTCCATTTAATTTTAATGGACAATTTAGGTGCTGCTAGCTTAATCGTCTTCTCATAAACGACTGACAGAAACAATCAAAGCGGTTCAGGTTGTTTGTTGCCTTTTCTAAGAAGTCAGCCACAGATGGTGTGGATGTGCTAGGAGACAATTCAGCAGAACAGGCTCTGCAAACGGCGATTTTTGCGTCTTTCTCAAAACTTTAAAATGTCAAATGTCAATTTAATTTTTCGGTAAAATTTATTCAGTCTTTTTGACTTATTAGGATGAACACTGAAAGAGTTTTTTTTGTGATTTTCGTACGATTAATTTCAGTTTCCTAACATTTGGTGCATCTGTAGCATGTATGAATCGCACACTTACCCTTAAGTTCAGTTTGTGCCTTAACTCCAACACTTGAGTTCCAGTCAGGTTGCTGAGCTCCTCGTGCTCATTGTAGAAGTTTTTCTCAAAGGGTGGGTAATCAATCTATAGTAAAAAAAATGAGAAAAACAAATAAATTCACTCATATTACACGTTTTAAACATAAAATGTTGATCTGTAGTTGAGACTCCTGAACTTTCTGAGCTCATTTAGCATCATCAAATATACCTCAGAGTGGTCAATGGGGGGAAGCGGCAAGATGATTTTCTTGGTGGTAGAGGCGATTGGGTTCCCGTCACTGTCATAGTCAATATTTTCCTCCTCTTCCTCTTGGGTCAGCCCAGCTGTGGGATTCTCTGCCATGTAGCGGAAGTAGGCTTCCTGCAGAGAGCACAGCATTTCATGTGAAAAACCGAGCAGGTTTGCTGCTTACCACAGCAACCAGCCATCAGTAACTGACAAACACTTAAAGAGACATTCAGCTTTATAACAGAAGGATAAATTATTGTTCACAATGTGATATCAACTATTCTGCCACTGGCTCAAACAAATCAAATATTAAACATGCTCCCCACCCCCCACACACTTTCTAAACAACAAGAATAACCTACATAAGAAAAAGCCCTCCATCATAATGATCCTAAATGCAACCTGCATGGTCAGATAGAGAGGAAGGCAGGGGGCTTTATAAGATTAGACAGGGTCGATTTAAGGAATGTTTGGTCTGGAGACCTCTCTGATCAACGATGTAGTGGATGAAGAACTTTGGAGGGCTCACTCACTTGTTCATCTTCTTCTTCAATGTCATCACGAATACCCCTGAAATGACAAGCGGAGAAAAAAAAAAACTTCCCTGCGGCTCGTTCATACACCCAAGACAGCCCACATCCTATCATGACTAAGGTCACTCTGCTTACCTGATATCATCTGCTAAGCCAGCAAAAAATTGCTGGATGTGCAATGCTTTGTGCCACTAATTGGAGAGACTTAAGATATAATTTCGGCATAAAGCTGTATTGGTAATTAAGATGTTTGTAAAAGCAGTGAACAGCAGTTAAATACATATAATTAACAGTCTGATTATCTCAAATTAGTAGACTTTTACTATTTTTACATAACATTTTAATTCAGTTGCGGGCAATCCTTATTTATTTTGGTCAAAGTTTAACCTAAGCATAAGGACCACAGAAGTGACTAACAATCAAACATGAGAGGACATTTAAGTCTTACTTTGTTGACTTTTTCTCCTTTTCCTTTTCCTCTAGTTTTCTCATGTCTTTAGCTGCTTGGTTCTGGAGGAGGAGAAAAATAACGATTTGTTAGAGAAAAGAGCAGATGAAGCATTTAGAAGCATATTCTAGTTTGTTTCTGTCAATCTTTAATTCTGTTCTCACCTCAACCTCTGCCATGAAGGCATCCAGTGGGTCATCTTCACTGTCTGAGCCACCACCAGACTGCATCTGCTGCCGTGTGGGCGAGTTCTCAGCTGGAATGTACGGCAGATCCACATTACTGCTGGACTCCTCTTCATCATCTTCAAAATACCTTGTTGACAATGACAAAGATGCAGTTTATAATTATCTAATACCACAAATCACATTTTACACTGACGGTTTTCTCAGGGGTTAACCAGAACATATGTGTAAGTGTATGTATGTGTATGATAGAGATGTAATACTCACGCATTTTCCTCATCAAAATTAGCTCTTTTGGTCCCTATTTTGTAGAACGACGGGAGCTGTTGGTTCTTCCCATATCCCCCACTTGACCCTGCGCCTCCGAATGACGTGTGAGATTTTGGAGTTACATCAGGCTCGTCTTTTTTCCCTGCAAGGGAAAATCCTCCAAACCCAAATCCTCGTTTCACACCTGGACCACCTTTGTTCCAGTTCATGGCTGAGCTGTGAAAACAAGAGGGGAGAAAAGCCTTTTAAGTCTTAAGATGCCACTGTTATTATACCAAATCTTGTTCAAACATTTTGGTATTTTTGGTTTGTCTGCCTTGGTTCTTTAAGGTACTCCCAATAGATAGTGACCGAGCACTTCTCTGAATCAGGTCACAGGACCATTTATAGCAGACGTATTCTGGTTAACAAAGACTAAGTTATGAAAAAGTAGTAAATAAGTAGCCCTGTCTGCCATTCACTTTGCTTGTTAAATAGTTGATTTGGTTAGCTGCTTTTTAAATAAACAGAATAACCCGTCGCACTTTCACTTTTATTGACGGGGACTTCTGCCACCGCAGTAACGTTAGCTTCAAACATTAGAGACCAACATTAGCTAAACAACATACAAGAGTTGCAAGACAAGGCAAGTTTATTTGTATAGCACATTTCAACAACAAGGCAATTCAAAGTGCAAAGTGAAAAGAAAAGTCTTAAGTTTTGATTTAAAAGAATTCACAGTTTCAGCAGACCTGTAGTTTTCTGGGAGTCTGGCAGCTGAACGCTGCTTCTCCATGTTTAGTTTTGACTCTGGGGAAAGAAAGCAGACCTGATCCTAGACGACCTGTGATGTTTGGATGGTGCATAATGTAGCAGAAGATCAGAAATATATTTTGGCCCTAAACCCTTCGGCGCTTTATAAACAAATAAAAAGGGTTACAAAGGTTGTTAATTTGTCATTAAACGAAAGTCTGTAGTCCCTTCATGCCAGTACATACACAGAACTTAACAGATAATTAAATGTGTATTAAAATGTAGTAACATTTAAAATAAATAAAATAAAGCAATAGGACATATACAGTTATTTACATAGGAAAGTTACAGACAAAGACATTCGGAAGTGCATTTTTTTTTTTACTTATTTATTTTATATATATGTGTGTGTGTGTGTAAGTAGCTGTGCAGTAGGGATGAATAATTATTCGAAATCTTATCAAAATCACAATATGACCTAATGCAATTTTCAAATCACAGGAGGTGCAATATTTGTTGAAGGCTAAATTTGTGTCAAAATACCATTTTAAATTAAATATTGCAAAGCTACAGAGATGTCCTGGCCTACACATCATATTCTACATCTCGGTTTGGTAACGTTATAGATCCTTATTTTTACGAGAAAAAAAAAAAAATCCCCCATCTGTTTTTTACACAAATCGCACCCTTAGGATAAACATATGTTTACAATGTTATATGTTTATAATGTTACAATACATACTCGCAATTCATAAGGGGATTTCATCAAACACGTCCATGGAGGCCGCACCAGAAGCACTACTAGAACATTGTAATAACAGGTATATTTAATAGGGTTCTGCAGGAGGGAACGTTATCAGGCTGAAACTGACGTATCCGAGTTAACATTGATGCTAGTTAGCCATTAGCTAAACACGACGGTCCAAAGCGATAAAAGCATTTTGGATTCAGCTGCGGGCCTACGGCGGTTACTCTGCAGGACAGTAATTTGATAACAACACAACGTTATTATTGTTCACAATATGTCTAACTTATGCATAACCTTAACGTTTAGCTCAAGGCCGCAAATCGAGGCCGAGGGGTGTGCGAGGCTAGAGTCGATTCACTTCTCCGTGAACATGGTTTTAGTTAGGATGCCTTTCACACTCGAGTGTAATACACGATGATATTTTCCATTGGCTGATTATATCGATAACTTTGTGAACAGTGGCTAACAGGGCGTATTTACCTGTTTCTGTTTCCAGTAAAAAAAAAAAAACAGCTCTCCAGTGTTTTCAGCAGACCAAGCGGTGATTACGTCATGTGTGCGCGCCGTTGGGTGTGTCGTCGTTCCTACGCGACACGGCGTTCATCCAAGAAGGCGTAGTGGAAAAATATTTTGCTGGAGAGGATGGCTAGCTAAATAAGTTATCCTGAAATATAATATTACTCCAACACGGCATTGCTGTTCTAAACGGTTTATAGGTAAGTTATTAAGACATTAAAATAATGCAATTTGTTATTACTAAAATAACTGAAGGCAGTTGTTTTAGCTAACGGTAGCCTGCGCCCTTCGTCATAGCAACATTAGCCATTAGCAAGACCTGAACTCTGCCTGTGAATAATCTGCTACGAGTTAGTGATTAGCTTTTTTTCTTCTTCTAATTCTGTTCAAGTTAACGTTATTTGCAATGGTTGGAAGTCAGAGACACATCTCCGTGTTTTGCATTACAAACACATTTTTATCAAGCGTGTTGATTGGTTTCAACCTCAAAATCAGTGTGGAAATAGAAAGCATCACTCAAGCCAGCACTAGATCATCTGACTGGTAGACTTTACTTTGCTATACAAGGTTTAATGATCACTTTAATAAGTAATAATAACTTATATACATAGCATGCAGTAAGCAAGACAAGTTGTCATGTTTGGTTATGTGCCAAAACATAAGTCATTTCAAACAATAACATTTAAACTATCAAATAATATTTATGTTCTACAGTTGTGTGTGCTGTGTTTCAGGATATCAGTACACACATATATGTATTCTGTGATAGAATTCAACAGAGACATTTAACTACAGGTTAATCCTCATCTCATTCATTCATTTCTTACCAACAGAGTGCAGATAATTAGACATACAGTTAAACATCAATTAATAGCCCAGGTTTTTATTTGCTTAAATCACTGAACTCACCCTGCCTACATTTGGGACAGGCATCTGTATGAGACAGGCCTTTAATACCTTTGCCACGCTAGTAAATCTGAATGCTTTGATGGTCAGTGTTACCGTAAAATGAACTAAACGATTGAATTGTGGAGAATCTAACAGATCTAACGATGTGTAGCATGTACATATGGACAAACATTCATCTTCCATTTTTACGTCAAAGTCAGGAGCACCCCAGGGTTGTGTGAGCTCACCTCTGCTCTTCACGATTTATACACATGATTGTAAAACTGATATAATACATTTTCCACCTATAAATATTTAGGCTTCTGTGTGAATGCTGCTTTATAGATTATGTCTGTAATATATTTATCATTTTTGTCATTTGGAGCAAACATTAATATCATTATTATTATTTTTCCAATCTATAATGCAGTGTTGTGCAGTATGGAATCAGTGCGTAGGACACTTGTCTCACTATTCAGCTTAAAGCTAGACTGTGGTAATAAATATGTATCTGCTCAAAGATTGTGGGTTAAACATTTGAGTCAAGGTTTGAAACTGCATACTAAGAGAATGTTGTCTCAGATTTTATTTAAAGAATATAAGCTTTAGCTATTAAACAGAAGACTTTGGGTCCCTCAGACTAAACTGAACAGACTGCAGAACTGTTTTGTTCCTCAGTCTGTAAAACTGTTAAATCAGTGTTTGGGTTCTAAGTAGGCCTCACTGTACCTGTGTAGACTGAGCTCTGAATGTGAGAGTGAGCATTTCAATTGATTGCATTGCATCTACTTATACTTTGTGATGTCTGATGTAATATATGTTTGTAGTATTTATTTTGTTGTTTGGTTAAATGTATTTACAATATACGCCTTTGGACCAACTACCAAAAAATATTCTGATAATAAAGTGACGTCAAATCAAATCATGTAACGAGCATGATTGACCAACCACAAGTGACTTTTGTCCCCAGCAGGAGGAGACTTAACAGAGACATCTTCTCCTTAACTTGTCTTCACTCTTTACAGGTGTTCTCTGGATATGTTTTCAGCATTTCATATGTAACACACTCAAGAGGATCCATGTCTTTTCTTGTAAGTGTTTGCCAAGTACCTCCTATTTTAGACTTCCCAAGCAAGGATTTAATGTACTACAGTACTCATATGTTTTTAATCAATATTTCCATTGTCACTTGTCTTTGGTCTAGGAAAAGAAAGGCCTTTAATCACATTTATGATGTTTATGAGCTTTCATTGCAAGCAGCCAGACACTATTGTTATCACTGATAAGACAATAACATTCAGTTATATTTGCATAGTTCTTAGAGAGGACTGTATGAAAAATGTAGCTTTTTATGAGTTTCTCTTCCACCCAAGAGACAGAACACTTTTAAAGCTACAAATTAAGTCAACATGAACTTTCTTTCCTCAACAGCTTTAAATATGTTTATGTTTCTGTGTGACATTTCCTTATTCTTGCTTGCATTTTCTCTCTTTTCTCCATGTTTCTCATTAACCCTCTGTGTCTGTCAGCGTTGGGTATCTGAGAAATTGAGTGTGGAGAGCCTGCGGGATTTGGAGTTATTTGGAGGTGAGGTCCAAGGCAAACCGAGATGCAACAAAAGGTTCCTAAAGCACTGCTTACACATTAGGCACCAGCATAAACAGAAAACAACATCCTGTCATAGCTTTGCTCTAAGTAAGTCGTTGCTTTGCTCTGCTTCTCAAATGTCATCCTTGAATCACAAGTAGGAAAATTTCAGTCAATCAGCGATTTGTTACCTGTCTTAGGTGTGTGCCATTTTATTTAATGCTTCTTGTTTATGTGTTAATCTTGTGTGTAAAAACTGTTGTATCTTTGTTTTTGGCTGTCAAATATTTTCATTTGCCATTATACCTAAATTTGAGTTATACCTAAATTTGAGTTATCCCTCTTGCGGTAACGTGGTGTGGTAATGTGTTTAACCATATTTGCTTCATTGAGTCAGTCTGAATGTAATCAGAACTTCTAGCACTTCCGATACAGATTCAACAAATTTTAGAACTCAGTGTGGTGCCGAGCTTTAAGATTGGGTTTGAGCCAGCATGTGCTATTTTTCAAGCTTTGCTGTTGCACACATGCTATAACGAAATTACTGTAAACATCAGCTGGTAACTGGGGAAACCTTTCACATCAGTGGTAATTACAAATAGCATATACTTACAGACGGTGTATATCCTACATGGTATCATGAATTGCAGAATAACAGCAGTCCAAGTTGAGTAATTCAAATCAGTTACATGTGCAATCACAATAATATAACCCATTTTACAAGCATAGCAAGTATAGCAAGTATATAAAGTAAGCATCACAGGATAAGAACAAGGAATGCAATTGAATTGCCTGACTGCAAGCAGAAAGATTTTTTTAGTTTGTGTGTCAATAATTCGGTTCACTTAATTGGTGATTCAAGAAAAATCCATAGTGTTGTCGGCAGGCTACGTGATCCACAGTGTCAGTCAATCAGACTCCATAGAGTTTGATGTACTGATCTCCGTACAGCAGCAGCAGGGGATCTTTGTTTTAACCAGAATATCCGACTTGCCCACTCACACTGAATTTACTACTAACTCGTTCACACACATCAGATACTTCCTTATTTGCTGAAATTGTGCAAAACCAGCAGTGTTATTAGAGGCGGAAACTGTCACTCATGACGGGTAGCTTTTCATTTTTGTTCCTACAGTATGTACATAATATATTTGTCACAATAGAAAATAAGAGTGAATACATGTAATGTTGACTAGTCTGTAGATGTGCTTAGTTTTGCCTTATTATATTTTGTGTATTAGATTTCTAGGCAGTGTAGAACAAATATACACATCTACGCTCTTTATGAAATCCTCAAAAAGACACTCCCATCATTCACAGAGTATGTCATAGCAAATTTTAGTCAAATGTTTCATTGTCGGGTGAATCCAAAGACAACCACAGTCACACTTATGTTAACACAGTTAAAACCCTGAAACTGTGAATACCACAACTATTCAGACTGGCATACTTCCTGCTTCATTTAGTTATTTACTCTTGGCTACAGAGCTGCATCTCTAGAAGGATCGGAGGTTAAGTGTCTTTTTCATTCTCACAGTTTCTCGGAGGTTCTTATTCACATTTTGAACTTTTAGCTTTTCCCTAAAACCACCCACCCTCCAGTCATAAATCTTTCTGTGGGCCACTGAGGGGATGATTTTTTTTTTGGTTGGATGATCATGAGAGTACCAACAAAAATAATTGTGTTGGTTCTTGGTCAAGACCAAGCAAATATGAGTCCTGAGAAAATTATACTCACCCAAATCATACTCGGTCCACAAGGTGCTTTTACCATTCATGTTATTTTTTTTAAATGGACTGGAACATTTAAACTACTGTCTGTTGAGTTCTAGCCAAAATGGCTTACTAGCCAGAAGCTGGATTTATAATATTTATCATTGTGGCTGATTGTACTCCACTGGTTTATTTTTTCTGTGATATTTCCAGCAGTCACATTAAGTGACACTCTAGATCCTTTAGATAAGAATAAATGTACTATGCTGTATTTGAACGGACTGTAGTTTGTGAGTTGCAAATCAGATTTGAAGTCTTTCCATGCTTCCTGAAGCTTAAAGACTGCGTGAATCGGTGGTTTATTTATGTTTTTGAAGTGCCATGTTTCTTCTCATTAATAATCAATATGATTTTTGGCACATTATTGAAGCTTTTGTGTATTATAAAAATATTTTGGTGAGGTGGATTATGCCTTTTTATGCTCATTTTCATTTCTTGCGGTCAGATCATTGCTCAATGTTGCATGTTTGTTTAAGAATTTCATTTCTCTTTTGGCTGTGCTATGTTCCCATTGCCTTACATAATACCTGGGAAGACCCTGCAGGGTTTAGCTGGATTTATTTTCCCATTATTTTTATTTGCAGTGCAGTTTAAACATATTCAAGTTATCATGACAACGGTCTGTAATGATAATAATGTGTCACTTTGTGGACAAAGCTGCTGGTTCAGACAAATCCTGTTAGTAGCAGGGAAACCAGCAAAGGTCATATATCAGATTCTGTAGCCTGCTGCAAACTCCCGCTACCAGTTGCTCCACTTCCCTGTTCAAGAGCTGCTCTAAACACGGACCCTTCTCTTGTTTTGTGTGTGTCTTTATGTCATTGATGTGGTTTTTCTATCCCAGAGCAAGCTCAGGGACTCTCTCACAGGAAAGTAAGTGTGGTACTCCTGTCACTGCATCATTACCCCCCATTTTCCCTTTGTGTATGTGCGTGCATGCATGTGTATGTGCGCACACAGATTCATATGCAGAGGAATCCACAAACCCCAGAGGCTTTGCACATTTATGTATGCATGAGTGTCTAGTTCATGACACATGCTGTACATGCTCATAGCTCAGAAGGACATCTCCCCTCACTCACCAGGGCTTCAGTTGGAGAAGACGGGGAAACGGTAGAGCTTACAGTCCTCTAACACAGCCTTTCATAATAGTCCTGTCTGGGTCACGAGTGTGTTGTTAACATGCTACAGGTAACTGCTTTGTTTTGGATTTTGGTGTCGCCTCACTAAAAGTCAAAATTCTCTAAGAACATTTTGTGTTGTGAGTGTTTGCGTTTTGACACTGTCTGTCTGTGCTGGCGGCCTGTTGTTGAGTTGGTGGTGAACTGATAATGTCACACTTTGACGTGAGCCACTGTGTGTCCCTGCGGACTGTAGATGGATGGAGTTCCATGTGTTCAGCTTTAGCAATGCATGGCAACCTCTTCTGAATCTGATCACGATGGCAGTTTGTACTGTAACCCATGTGATTAGATCAACATTTACAGATGTTCCCTGAACTGATGGCTGGCATAGCATGTTTGACTTTATGGTGTCACGCCAGTTTTAATGTACAGTCTGTAAAGTTTATGTTTGGCAAAAGGCATTGTTTGGCTTCACATCCAGAGAACTGTCCACACATGGAACAACTCTTGGTTGTGTGTCTTTAACCTTGATCTTGAAGTCAGTCCCGTACCTGTAGGATAAAATTACGTTCAAGGAAGTGCACTATTCCAGTTTTGAATATGCGTCTTCATTCTGGTCACCATGAAAACAATCCTAGTATTCATACAGCTTGTCTTCATTTGCCTCCACAGCTTGGTACTGCAATCTGTCCATTTCCATCATTTGAATGGCAGTAAATTGATGGAATTCAGGAGTCCTCACTTCCAAGAATATTTACTTTAATTGCACAAGTCTAAAATAATTTCTAACTTAACACAAGAGGGGATAGGCTAAGAGTAGGCCACAGTGATTCTGTTCACATGTTATGGTTTCAGAAACACTTTATATTGTAACTGTCTTGGGCCATAAAAACAACACCCATTGTTTAAGTGGATCTTTGGTATTTGAAAATGTTTTCATTAGTGGATCTACAGTAGATATTTACAATGGGGATGGTTTGAGTGCCAGTATGTGTTAATAATGTTTTCCAGTTCCTGGTTTTTTTTTCTGTGGTTAGTGCCAGGGGTCATGCTAACACACCTTGCAAACACACCTCAGCCTATCCTTTGGTGATCTTTTTACAGTTCTCACATATATGACCAACTCCTACCTGCGGTAGTCACTCGCAAGCTCTTCAACACAGTCCTGCACTGCAGCAAGTGAAGTCAGTGTCACAGCCCATCTTCATTTGCTGTTTCCTCCCCTCTACCTCCAGGCCCATGAGGATAGTCAGGAGAGTCTGACCTCCCTCCCACGTCGGGACACCATGGGAAGCTTCCTCCCTGACAGCAGCGCCTACGAGCTCCTCACTGTTATTGGTAAGTAAAGGCACACTTGGCTGTTTTGTAATTATTTCAAGATACACACATTTCATTCAGTTTTTAGCAGTTAGCCATTAGAAGTATGTATTGGCTAAAGTACAGCCTATTGTGACATAATTTTTAATAAAGCTAATTCACTGCACCATTATTTGAAAAAATGAAGAACTTGAAGTCTCTAATACATCTTAGATTTTTTCAGTGAACTGGATCTGAGACAGGCTCAGCCTCAGTTTTATTTTTTTCATATTGCAGGTTTCACCACACATTGTTCAGGGATGTAACCTTGCTCATTTAAAATGTATTTGAAATCTAGTGAGTGCAGATGCAGAAATTCTCAGAAAATCTCATACTGTGTCACAACTTGGTCTCAGGCAAACATCACAACAATGCAACCACTCCATAAACTCTTTACACAAACACACTGGATAAAAAAATCTAATTCAATAAATCCTTATAGCCGTCCTCTCAAAACAGTGATGGCGTGTGTGTGTGTGTGTGTGTGTGTGTTTTAGGCCGGGGCTTGGATGACTTGATGGCGGTGAACCTGGCTCGATACAGACCCACTGGGGAGCACGTAGCCATCCGACGGATTGATTTAGAGTCATGCACTAATGACATGGTTACCTACCTGCAGGTCTGCATCAGCACTCGACCCCGTCATTCTGCCGTAACTCAGCTCCCTCGTAGTCTTCTGTTCCCAATCTTTCATCTCACTGCTTCATTGGGAATACTTATGTAACCCTTGTGTCTGTCTGATTAATTTTCCTGCCTTTACCGCTCACCCTCCTAAGCCTAATGCAGAATCCCCTGTCGTCTTTATTTAATAAAGAATAATTTCTCTTTATCTGCTTCCCAGGGTGAACTACATGTGTCAAAGCTGTTTCACCACCCCAGTATTTTACCTTACAAGAGCATCTTCATAGCTGAAAATGAGCTATGGGTCATCACCCCCTTCATGGCTTATGGTAATAAATACAGTTAAACTGTCACTGTATTTCATGATATATGATTAAAGTGTGTTACCAGTATTTTAAAGTAGCCTGTACTAATAGAGGACAATTTCTTATCATGATTATCTGTTTGATGGTCTTTCAGGGTCAGCCAGAGATCTGATCTGCACACATTTCACTGATGGTATGAGTGAGCTGACCATCGCTTACATTTTGCTGGGCATGCTCAAAGCTCTTGAATACATCCACCACATGGGATATGTGCACCGGTAAGACACACTTTAACGTTGGCTTTGAGTTTTTAAACGCAGACATATAATTTTCTTGCCAAATCAAAGTTAAACAAAATGTTTGAAAGCTGCCAAACACACACAAAGACGTTCTGCTGAAAGCCAAAGGAATGACATTTTGTTAGGTTTAGGGGACGGTTGAAGTGGGGTCATTGCAGTATTTATATATGACACAGTGAAGCTGTTGCATAAAATCCTCCCAGGTGATAATGGAAAGGGTTCTCTGGTTAACTTTGACCTAAAACAGTAATAACAACAAACATATTCAGACAGCTCTCTTAAATCGAAATAAAAAAGCTACATAGGGTTATCACCCATTGTAGCATTACTTGGTCATTGATCAGGACTAACAGTGGTTTAAGAAGGAGTCGTTATGTCATAGCTGGAGAAGATGGACACGCCAGTATCTCTCTTACACAATAAGCTGTTCATAATTTCTTTTCTGTGCTGGTTTCTGGGCCTATACTTGCATTGAGTTTTAATAAATTGACAATATTGATAAACTAACATGTCAGCATAACCATACGTATTAATACAGGTCAATGTGATATTCATTGTCTTAACTGTCTTTCGTTATGTGCAGGAGCGTGAAGGCCAGCCACGTGCTGATTTCAGCAGACGGCCAGGTCTGCATGTCAGGTCTACGGAGCATCTTCAGCCTGATTCGTCACGGCCAGAGGGCCAAAGTTGTCCACGACTTCCCCCAGTATAGCGTCAAGGTGCTGCCCTGGCTCAGCCCTGAGGTGCTGCAGCAGGTACAGTACTGCATCCCTCCACAATCAAGCATTAATCTGTGTAATACTGTCTTTACCCTGGTCTACACATACTGTTCTGCAGTCAAAATCCAAGGGTAATAGTTCTTCATGCTGCATTTATCAGCAAACTTAAAAGGAATCAGAACTGAAATGGTGATGAAATTGACTGATTGTTTAAATTTCATGTGCAAATGTTTCTTCTCAGAACCTGGAGGGCTACGACTCTCGGTCAGACATCTACAGCCTTGGCATTACAGCCTGTGAATTGGCAAATGGACATGTCCCCTTCAAAGACATGCCAGCTACACAGGTGAGAAAAGACCTATCAGTTCTTCATCACATTATCTGTTTGTAACCAGTATTTTAGTGACAAATAAAACTGCGGGATAAAAATTCCACTATTAGATTAATTTTCAGACAAACCTTATTTATTTGCACAAACAGTACAACAAAGTACTGTAGTCAACTTGAGCTTGTTCAGTTTTAAAAACTACATCAAAGAAAGGGCCATATCTCGTAAATTGAAATACAAAGGTCTGTAAGCTGTTTTCCTGGAATCAAAGGGTAGGTGAACTAACACACTCCGTGTCCACTTTGCTTCCACAGATGCTGCTGGAGAAGCTAAATGGGACGGTGCCGTGTTTGCTGGACACCACCACTATCCCACCAGAGGAGCTGTCCCTGAAACCTTCACGCTCTGGGGCTGACTCTGGGATCTGCGAGGGCCCAGGAGCCGGAGGTGTTCGCCACTCCAACGGAGAGCCCTCCTCCTCGTCTGCAGGACACCCTTACAACCGCACGTTCTCCCCACAATTCCATGCCTTTGTGGAGGTGTGTCTACAGCGAGACCCAGAAAAGAGGTTGGCCTTTTTCTTCCTGCGTGCTTAAATGTTTCTATAGGACATATTGTAAATGTAGGATTCCAGACTAATTGTTTTCGCTTTGTTTTCCTTCAGGCCGTCTGCCACCACTCTCATAGGTCATCCCTTCTTCAAACAGGTGTGTAAGTTAATCCTGACTTATGAAAACAACTACATTTCTACTATTTTTTTTTCACCTTTTTTGTAAAATACATTATCTTCTGAGCTTAGTTGCTAAAGACAAATTTCCTTTTGATTTCTGTTGCTATAAATTGCTGAACTTCTGTTTGAAACAGGACTTTGTGGTGCTACAGTAAAGAGTTTTTTTTTTTTTAGTTCTGAAACAAATGTATATTTACTGTATTGACATAATCTTAAGTGTCACAAATTCCAGCTTCTGCCATATGACCAAAGTGACTCTACAAAAAGAAAACATGTTTTCTTGGCTGCCTAAAAATGCTCCACCATGCCAATTATATTTCCACTGGCTTTACTTTTATATTACTAATAATACTACAACTATGCATTTGATTAGGTATGATGTGAAGAATACATTGAAAAAGAAATATTTAAATATTGTAATCCAGATGTTATTCCCCTCCCTCAGATCAAACGTCGGCCCTCAGAGGCGCTGCCTGAGCTGTTGCGGCCTGTGTCGCCTATCTCCACCTTCAGCAGCTCCAAGCCGCATGGCTCTCCCTCTGGACTGGCTAGTCTGGAGTCAGGCCTCAGCCACCTGGAGGTGGACGACTGGGACTTCTGACAGTGGAGGACTCTGTGGGGAGCGACTTGTAGGACTCTGACAGGAAAGTCTCGGAGCATACGAGACGAGAACTGTTTTTGTAATGGTCCCCTTGTAAATAATTCAAGCCTCAACCTAAAAGGATTTGCTGTTCTCAGACAGAAGTTAAAAGCCAGCAGCCATCTTGCCTCATCTTGAGGTCTTGCACACGCTTCTGTTCTCTAGATATGCACCGACTCTTGCACTGATGGCCTCTCTATTTCACACACACGTCTGTTTACAGATTGTACTCGCACATTACAAGCCCCGTAGAGGCAAAACACAGCAGGATTGTTTATCTCATGCTGTTGCAGTTTCAGAGGAAGGTCTATGGATGCAGATGTAGCCTCAACCTAAAGATTCCCATTAAATGGATCAGTAGGAAGCTGCTACTAAATATTCAGAGGGGGCACTCTACCTCTTGTTTGAAAATGGCCGCTTGATGTGGCCCATCTGCTCAGTGAGACCACCATATGGGTGCACACTGGTTCTCACACCTCGCTATCAGCCCCCTCTACACCAGATGGAAGGTTTCGACTTTGTCCTGATGGTCAACTTAATGTACAGCATGTATACGCATTATAGCTCTCTGCTTGTGTTGCATTGTAAACTTCATCTCGTGCTTTACGCATCTCTTTAGTTGCACAGAGGTTAAGTGTAACATCTCTAGTTTAACCTTCAGAGCATAGAATTATGCTATGTATTTCCTTGAACTTACTCTGGGTGTGATGTTACTTACGTCAAACGTGAATGTTACATTGGTGCTTGTTTTGTCTGCTTGTACATTTAAAAGCGAGGGCAAAACAACGTGTTGCAAAAGTCAAACTTGACTTTTAACAATAAACATTGTTCACTTTACATTTACTCATTTGGCAGACGCTTTTATCCAAAGCGACTTACATTTAATGGTTTAACTTGATGGTAATACACAGTGAGGCAGTTAACTATCTAAAAAAAAGTTATTTTATTGAAAAAGTACATGGACAAACATAAGGGGAGGGTTGAAAAGGTTAAGATGTTGCTAATCTTCCTCATCTGATGGCGGCTGATCTGTTGCGGCATTACGCTTCTCCATCTTAGCCATCAACTCTGGATAAAGGAAGAATAAAGGAAAATAATACAAACATGACTGGAGAGAATTGTTAAGTGACATTCATCACATGAATTTCTTAAAAGTTTATTCCTGTTTATCAAGAGGTCTTTAACAGAGCCTGCTTACCCTTAGCGGGGTTGAAGACGCCATTGGTTTGAGTGTTGCATACATAGCAACGCTTGGACTTGCGGTAATGCTGAAGAGCACAGGTCTCACAGAAATAGTGCCTACACCTGGGAGATATTTCACAGGTCAACACATTGCTCCTGATGATAAACAAGGCTCTGCAGAGTGAAGAAGAGAAAAAGAGTCCTACTTTGTGATGATGGGATTCTTAAAGGATTCCCTGCAGATGAAGCACTTAAAGGGTAAGTCCTCGTCGTCACTGCTCACCTCGTAGTTCTCATCATCTAGATGAAAGCACAGTATTGTTCAGGAAATGCTGATGCAGGCAAAAAACATGAAATCCCCCCTCCTGAACTCACCATTGGCTCCGTATCTGCCCTCCTCCAGTTCCCTCTCAATCTGCCAGCCATGTTTGTAGTCTGATCTGTCATGAAGGAACTTGCAGCTGTCTAATAACAGGAGAGAAGAACATGAATGGTTAAGATGTTAAAAAGTTGATTATTTTGATATTTCAAATGATACAAAGCTCAAACCCACCTCCAAAACCACAGAAACCAGTCTCCTTGTAGTCCTTGCAGATGTCCGGCTGGTAATCCCACCTGACTGTGGCTCTCAGGTGCTCAGGGGCTCGGATTGGCCCTTTTCTGTTAAAAAGATTGAAAGAAATGATATCAAACATACCTGGTTATATATTAGCATTCATTGGAGAAGAAATGTCTTATGAAAACATGTGATGAATACGTCTCTGCTCAGTGCTCACCTGACCATGCCAGAGGAGGCATTTCCCATGATGGTATCTTTTGGCTTGATGAATTTTTGGTAGTTGTTAATGCCACGGTAGATTTTATCATCCTCTTTACCCTCCAGCTCCTGTTAAAGAAGAAAAAGGGTTCATGCATTAAGTAGGAAAAGAAAAACTGTGCATAATTTAACATTTAAGTTTATGCTGATATATAAAGGTTGGTGCAAATAATCTAATCAGTTTGATATTTCAACTGTGACTTGGTGCAGTTATACAAGATTTATAACTGAACTGAGCAGTATTTTCAGACAATACCGATGCATTGAATTGAACACTGCCTATTTGACTAAAAAATATAAGTGTATGAAGACACATTTTGTACATTTATATTGAAGAATCACATCATGTAATTTCTCATGTACCTCTTGGATTTTCTGACTCCTCTCAAAGATGGCCTGAGCGTCCTTGTCTCTCTCTGTGTCCAGCTCATATGTAGCAGTTGCACCCATGTCCTCGGGTCCCTCCGGTTTCTTTTTTGAGACAAGAATGAGAGAGACTGCTACAGCACCTCCATCAAGCCAAAAACAAATGGCCAAAACATCAGAGCTCATACAAACTATGAAGTGAGCAGCTCTACTTGAGTAACAGGGAGGTTGTTTAGCTTGCTCATTGGCACCATAACAAAAGTTGCTGGAGGAGACAACTGTGTCTCATTTACTTTCCCTAACCAGGGGGTTTAAACCATTGCACTTTATGGTTCCTGCAATATGAAAGAAATATCTCAACTCACTGCTGACCGTGTGGACTTGTAGGCAACAGTGATCTTCTTGTCTTCTTTTTCAGATTCACTTTCACTGGAAGATACAGCGTCTCTCTCCACCTTCTTTGACTGAACAGGGACAAGACCAGGGTCAGGCTTACCTCACCTTTAAACTCAAAATGGATTTTAAAATAGTATTATTATGGTACCTTTTGAATCATTGGGTTGACTCGAGTGTCTTTCTTTCCTTTTCTGACCACAGAGCTCTGGTCCTCATCACTATTGCCATCTGAAAAAAAGATACTCTTCTCCATCAATCAGAAATACTTTATTGATCCCAGAGAGGGAAATTTTCACTCACTTTGTATATCAAGGTATTAAGAAATAGAAATAATAAGTAGGCAACTAGAAAATAACGAAATATAAATCTAAAAATAAAACTATAAAAGGTGTGGATATGTACCGTATTAAAGGAAATGTAATGATAAATAGTAGTAGTGAAATAGATAGTAATAGATGGAATGGATCCAAATCTAAAATCTAAATATAAGGAGTGTTGACATGTACAGTATTTAATAGTTATTAACAGAAGTGTAATGATAATCCCAACTGTGAAAACGCAAACTTATTACAACTTCCATTCAAGCCCACAGGGGTTGGTAGCTATCAAGTGACATCTGAATTAACCGGACATAGAGAAAATACAGCTTTTTATATACAGTCGCACAAACAAGTCATAGCCCTCCAAATTCCGAGGGAGCCAAAACGCAACACAAATGAGGGAACTGGTTTTTAGCAATCGACGAAAATTGTCACAACCTGCACACAGTTTACAAAGTTGCGCTCATATTTCTGTCGTTTGTAGCGCGTTTCACTCTTATAATTAGGTAAATGTAATTGGCATTATTAAAGACAGGAATACACACAAACACTTGTGACTGTAGCAAATTTGTGTTTGACATTTCAGGACTGTTGACAAAGCCACAACGTTGCCATCACAGGGGATTATCATCATGAAAACGATAACAAAAACACAAGCTAAATGATTTATTACCATCTTTGTCGCTGTCGCTTGCTTTTCTCTTTCGTCCGGAGAATTTTCTGGTAGATTTTTTGAACAAAAAAGTGCAAGGGCCCGCTTTTGGTTCTTCAGACTCCGCCATCTTTACCTTCAGCAGGCCTATTATAAATAACCGCTGTCACCACAGCGCCCTCTGGTGTCTCGGAGTGATGTTAATAAAAGCATAGACTGTATATAAAAAAGCCTGCTTAGTCGGCTCCTGCTGGTGAAGAGGAAAATAACTTCTTCTGTCCCCAATTAATTTATTCTAACACAAAAACATAATACGTCAAACACAGTCCTAAATGTACCTTTTCTCGCAGAAGACACAAAATGCCTTCCATGCTTACAGAAATATGGCAATAGTATATAGTATCCATTACAGACTATTGGTGTTGGCTACTAGAGTGCTGCATTGTTTTCACTTCATTTATTTATTTGACAGGGACAGTGCTCATTAATCAACAGCAGATCAAATGAATAAATAATAAACAAACTGTAAATGAGCCAGAATTAGCCCATCAGGTAAATTTGCATCTGTTATCCCTGGACAGTTATTAAAACATTTAAATGAACTATAATTACTTATTTCGGTCAGCACGATAGAATGATAGGTATTTACTTATCTTATCTGCATTGGCAATTGGTTTTCTTTGTGGTATAAAACCATATGGCTGACGCTGATTCTGGGTGTCTGCCATGTGTGGACCATGACTTTGATTGTTTTTGTGTGCATGTGTTTTATTAGCCTATGTATGTGTCAATGTCGTACCCACTTTAAACAAAGAAAGATAACCAATGAAATTTGGCATCCATGTAGGTCTACAATATCTTTTTAAATGTTCTTTTGCTCATAAACAAAACAGTGGAATATCAGACAAAAAGTCGTATTCTTACCATATTTTCATATACATTTAATCAAAGGCTATGTTAATTTGTGTGTGTGTAGTATGAAGGGATTACAAACTTTATTTACGTTATGCAACTTTGTGTTGTATAATGATACAATACCTTGTACCAATAAAAAGCAAGGACAGTAATAATAAACAAATTAATCATAAAAACGAAATAGAAATTGATAAAACATCAAATGTGCTTCACTTATGCCACTAGCATGGCTGTTTTTCTTTTTGTGGTTCACAGCGAATGCATTAAAAATAGCCGACCCCAATAAATTTAAACAGGTCTGAAACTGGAAATCTTTTAATATAACAGAACAACAGCAAAGTCATGTAAGCTGATTCAGAAACAACTTAAAACGGTATGTAGCCTAATTGATGGTGTTTTTAAGTTATATAAAGCTATTTAGTACGACGGTCCAAAATTACGTGAAGGCGTCATTTCCACTGGTCAGCGGTGCCAAGTGCATGACGAACGCTGACTAAAACCGGAAATAAAGGTGGAAATAAAAGTACCATTATTCGACAATCAGCACAGTGAGGCGCAAATAAGTACATTTGATTTTATTTCGAAGGTTCTAGCCGGAACTTGCACATTTAATCATCTCTAATTTAACGCCGGTGGCCACTTTCCTGTCCTCCTCCTCCATCAGCAGCAGCAGCACCGGGGCTCCCCGCAGAGGACAGCGAGTGTTTGTAGGACACAGGGCCCGCGGAGGGAGGGGTCCTGGCCTGGGCACGGATCCCGAAGAGGCTCCGGGGCCGTCGCTGGATGGAGTCGGGCTGCATTCAAACAGCAATGGCTATGGGTCTGACATCGAAAAAGGCGTCTGCTCGGAGCGTCGGCGTGGAGCGAAAAAACCTCATCACGGTTTGCAGGTATAGGCTACATCACGACACCGTCGACAGGCTGTTATCTGCAATTTGCCAGTACCTGCATGCTGTTCCGTTCATAATTTCCATAAGCTGACCACGATGATGCATTTTAGTAAACAAGGTCCTTCCTGAGGAGAAACAATGGTAGCAGAAAACAAAATAGATGTAATAATGCAGAATAACCTAATGGACACATTTCTAGAAATGTAAGGGTTGAAGAGGAGGCAGGTGCGCTTTCACCTTCACATACCCCTGCCATCACACCCATTGTGGACAAGAAAAAAACCGAGCTTACCTATAATATTCCCTTAACTTGCCTTTCCTGGATACACTTTGTTGTAACATTCCTCCAAACACCATATCTTTGGTATGATATTTATGTAGGGACCCTCTGAAATCTCTCAAAGGAAAGTCTCTTTCATGTTTTAACAGGTTGAGACACCTGCTTGATTCCCCTCTATACTAATAAATGCATCTTCAAAGGATAAAAAAATTAGACTAGAGGGCTTATATTGTCAATCTTACAATAAAGTTAGAGAGAAAATACAACAGCAAACAGCAGGTTTCCTCCTCCATCACACTCAGGTTGAGTGCCTGAATGGGACAAGGGCATTTGCAGCAATACAAGGACTCTTCTCCCCATCTGGGTCCCCCAGCTTGTACAGTGCTGACGGACTGTGCTGTGCAGTCTTTATATGGCTCTAATAGATCACTGTCATGTACAGTGTTATGTCACAAGCAGAGAAGACCCTTATCTTTCCTCACGAGATGTCTTTCATAACATGTCCTGTTGCTCCTGTAAATTACATCCGTTGGATTTCAAATGTTAATTAACAGTGAATTATTTTTACATGACTGACATTTAAGTCATCTGTTGTGTAAATCAGTATGAGCTAAATCAATAGTAATCATGCTTTTCTTTATTATCCCTTTAATCATCTTGTGACCTTCATATCTATTTGTGACCGTTCAGGTTGGGAACTAAACCCTGATCTAAATAACCTGAAGTCTAATATAGAGTTAAGTAAGCTTAGAATCTCTATATTATCTATATAATATTAATACATAATCTGTCTGTCATACAGTAAAGTTTTTTTTTTATCTTCTCAAGGTTATGACCTTTTCCTGTTTCATGGTGTTTTAGTCCAATAATGTTCCTCAACAGGCAATATATTCAGAAATTTATTCAAACATTATTTTATTTGCATTGATAATCCTATAGTTTCACTCTTAAATTAATAATAGTATTCTGTGTTATACATATTCATTTCTTAAATTGATATCAATACAACACTCCAATGTGTGTCTTTGATATTGGGACTGCAGCAATTATTTTCATTATCAGTTAATGTTCTGATTATCATTCTGATTAATTGATTAACTACTCTATGAAATTCAGAAAAATATTTATCTTAACAGAGCCTGGGGTGACATCTTTATAAAGCTTGAATATAGTACTATAGAAGACTCTGAAAACCAGTATAAAACCAGTATTTATATTCAAAAGCTGAAATGAGAAAATGTTTAGCTTAATATAACGATGTTATTCTGCCTTACAATATTTTTATATTCTGTGATATAACCAGAGGATATTTTACTTATAATTACAGCTTTACTTTGATACTTATAGTTCTCTCGTAAAATGTATTATAGCATTACTAAGGGTCTTAAATTGCAAACTGACTATAGTCATAAATTGTCTTATTTATGTTAAGTGTGCAGGCCTTCTGCCAAAGTGATGTCATGCATCCACATTTCGCTCTTAACATTTTCTCTTTTTATTTTTCTTTGCCTTGCTTTGTCTTTTTCCGTATTCACAGTGGATTGTACATGGTGTTTAAAACTAAATTAATTTACAACCATAAAACTGAAAAAGACAATGTCCAGACTCTCAAATAAACACACAATCAAGCATTTTTATTCCAGTACCTTTCTGTCCAAGATCCTGTCTGCATTTTAGTGACACGTACAGTGACGCAAAACACACAACATCACACAGAGCATGTCTGCAAAGAAAGAAAACGTCTCACAGTGGACTTACAACACAGAGAAAGATTAGTGAGGGCACAAAAAGACTGTTGTTTTCAGTTTGGCCTGACCGTGCTAAGACCTATTTAATCATTTAAGCATTTTAATGACAAACACACAGGACAGAAATAAATCTCAAACAGCTTTTCCATCAGTAATGCTTGCTACATAGTTTCCTTCCATTTTCTAATGAACAACATGACACTGATTAGGTTCACTTGGAGGGCAACTTCTTCCAGGCGTGTCTGTGTCGCTGTCAGATCTGCATCTCCTCATTAATGATGTTTCTGACCTTGTTATGTTTTTCTTCTTGATGCCATTCTGGTCAGTTGATTCAAGTAGTCAAAGGTTGTTGTGTGTTCGTACAGTCTCATTGGAGAGAGATCCTGAATCAGCAGTGGGCGCCTGGCGGTGCATTAAAGCAGGCTGGGCGTCATGTTGGTGCAGGATCCAGGCTCTGATGTGCTGCTGAGACACAGCTACTTGCACAGCTTGAACTGCTGCCTGGATACAGTAGCTTAGCTGACATTAGTGCTAGATTAGTACACCAGGCCAAGCTTTTATTTTCCCCTAATAGATGTGTGTAACATAAAGTCTGACCTCCTCTCCCGCACTGTCACATCATACACATTTAAAATACAGTCAACACACACAGAGATTATTTTCAGTTCCCAACAATTCAGTTGATGAAGTTATGTCTTTCTGTGGGACTTCAGAGAAGGGGGCTGTTTCTGTTCAGGTTCACTTGTTGTCACATGTTCCATAAACGGTGTCTATTTACGTGATGTGGCATCATATGGGTCACCAGTACCAGGCACAGAAACTTGTCTGATGTCTGCTCAGTGTTTCAGTGCCTTGTTTACAGTGTCATACTTGACCTAATGAACCCATTTTAATTAGAAACACACATATATATATATATATACAGCAATAGACATTTTGTGTATTATAAAGGAAAACCTGATTAAACATTTTGCACCACAACAGGGAACTCAAAGGCATTACAATAATGTTGTCTCATGATAAACTGAGACCAAGAATTGAAATTAAGAATAATAATGGCAAGTAAAAATAACAGAAGAGACCACCGCGGTCAGGTTAAAAAGTTTCAACTTCAAAATGTGGCTAAGAAGAATACTTGTGATTTTAATCCAAATTAAAAGTTCTCTTCCCGCCATCTCTTCAGACTGAGGGTAATAACAATAATAATAATAATTATTTTAGCTGCAATGTATCTGCAGGAACTTTATCTTAATGGCTTTCAGGAGACATGGTGATATTTATCACGCCCACCATCATCTACTGTGCTGTTACCACTAGTAACAGGTTTTTATCTTAACAAGGCAGAGCTGAGGCTTGCTGCAGTCAGTGGGAATTTTCATGCAACTCCAGTTTAACTTTGTTTATCTGAGCTTAATTGGATCAAATGGCGAAGATCACAAGGCATTTTGTTTACGGGACACATGCTGTACTGTAATGTTTAAAAATTCACTGTTTTGTTGCTTTAGTCTGGCTAAAGAGGGCGCTCATGCCGTCGTCCGTGACTGGAGGAACAGTGTTGCTGTGGACACGGTGGACCTAAGAAAACATAGATAAGATGAGTGAGACTTGACAGGTCTGATGTAAGGTGTTATCCCTTCAGCTGCTTCCTGTAACCAAAAGGAACAGGGAGTGAAAGGAGTAAGGGCGGTGATGTTGTGCATCTTGGCTGAGGTTTGAGCCCTTCCGGGGCGTGGCTCGAGAGTAGAGAATAAAATGTTCTGTGCTGTAGTAAACACAACAACACATTCATGTCTCATAGACATGCTTCTGCAAGTGGGAGGCTCTTTGTGCTTTTTAAAATTCTGAACAATAGTACGGGCTGCCAGTTTTATTAAGAAATAATATCTGGAATAACATTGTTTTCTAGTTTGGTTTCTGTGCAGCCTTTTTATGCATTTTCTCTGATTTCCAAAACTGCCGTACCATCAAGTATGTGAAGTTACTAAACTTTTGGGCATCTGTCACCTGCGGCTCAGTCTTCTCTCTCATTACCAATTTCTCTGTGACACGCTATATTCTTCATTTAACCCCCCTGTCAGTTTCAAACATCTGATTTACACTCTAAGCGCTTCTCAGCCCAACACCCTTACTGTCCATCTTGCACACTGATCCTTCTACACCTCCTCTGACCATGAAACACTTTGCCTAGACTCTAATTCACAGAGGGGGCTGGTGAGAGAGAAAGAGAGACGGCCCCTGCTGCAGTCGCAATTTTACATTTTTTTTTGTCTAATTAAGCCCAAATTATCATTCTAATCTTAATATTCATAAAAGCACACTGCATTCTTTCTCTTGGCTGTTTGTGCTGATCCAGTACAGGCCAGGACGTCTCCCCCGACAGCCCGGGACGGTAAACACAGCACTTGTTGGTGTTACACAATGCTGAGACCAGTGAGGAGTCCGCCTGTGTCATCTGATCCTGCTGGTTATGCCTAGACTAAAGAGAGAGAGACAGACAGAGGAAGAAAGGAGTCAGGGAAATGTTTAGGGGGAGTGAGGGGGGAAAAAAGAAAAGCTGAGCGTAAACGTGAAGCTTTGTGTAGTTAGGTTAGGTGTCACTGCTGATAAATGTAGTTTTGGTTACCCTAGATCGTTCTGCGGATCAAACACGCTTGTGTAAGTACAGTAGAGGGGTGAGAAAGGAGAACAAGAGGGCATTTAAAAGAGGGCTGAGAGTGGGCTTGGCAGCGATCCAGGCTGAGTGAGAGGGGGCACAAAAGAAGCTTGTCAGAAGGCCCTGCAGTTGTTTTTCAGTGTCAAATCGTACCAAGAGCATGTTGCTATTCCACTCCATCCATTTGCATTTGAGACACGCCAGCGATTCCCCTTCAGATCAAAGGACTTAATTTCAATAATCTGCTGTAATGTTCCTTCTGCGTTAACACTGCCACTTTATCTGGTCAGAGAGGCCTTTTGCAACAGTCAACTTTCTATTGTTATGATTTTAAGTGCTATCCCATCGACAAACAGGTAGATTAGCCATAAATCAGTGGTTCCCATACTGGGCCCTGGGAACCACTGGGGGCACTTGGTGGTTTTCCAAAGGCTTGGCACTTTGCATAATGAGCAACTGCTTGATTTCATACATTTTTTTCTATCATTGGAAGTCATCACAAAGAGGGGATGTTTGACTAGTATTGACCATATGTTTCACTACCCACTTTTTATCCTACATTTCAGACAGACCGAACAATTCTCTACAAAATCATACTTGACAGAAATTATTTTTTGATGGGACTCCTTTAGACTTAAGGTTAAATGTGACAATAACTGTGGTTCTCTGTCCCAGCGCTTACAAGCAAAACTGGCATCACCTGCCAAGTGGATTTCTTTGGTATAGCAGAGTTTGTGGGTCATGGTGGAGTAGAGCACATACTTGCAGGAACCATACATAACATCCTGGAGCTCCATTTTAGCTTGAAACCTGACTGATCTACTTGGTCTGTGCAGATAACATTATGAGATAAAACTGAGACGCCACTGACCTGTTTCCTTGATGAATCCGGCATGACCAAAACAAGTCAAAGGTCCCAAAGTAAATTTAATCCAGTTTTCGCTCTCAGTTGGAATAGACCCTTTGCAGATGCTGTAGTGTCCCTATGTTCTCTGTAGTGGTGCTGTTTTCTTGTGACATTTTGTGCCAGTCCCCCCACCCCACGATGAGGTCCCCTCTCATCTAGAGCGTCTTGCGTTTGGGGAAGAGGGCCTTCCGAAAAGAGGTGGTGGTGGAGCCCCTGCTGAAGGAGGCGCTGCCCAGGGAGATCTTGGTCTTTCCACTGGTAATGGTGGAGGAGCCCAGAGATGTCGTGCTCCTGCCTCTGGTGATGGAGGAGCTCCCCATGGCAAGCTTGGTCTTTCCCCTCTTTATGCTGGTGTTGCCCAGGGTTAAGGCCGTCTTCCCCTCGGTGAAGCTGGTGTTGCCCATTGAGGAGAATCTCGTCTTCCTGACCCAGATTCGACGACAGGGTTCGGGGCTCACTCGACACAAAGCATCGCACACTCATGCAGCACGCCCTGCTCTGCCCCTCGGCGGTAATAGTAACATCAGCTACAATCCAGAGCAGACCAGAATGCTAAGCGTGGATAGTGCGACCCCCGTGTCGCATAATGCCTTCGTTGAGTTGATCGACGTGGGCTCTGGAAGGCCACATACCACCCATGTGTCCCTCTGAATGGACAGAGGCAGCCGTAGGTGGCCACAGCCTATCTGGGTGGACTGGGACAGTGGAGCGATTGTCCCAACTCCACGACGACACCGGACGGTTGAAGGACACATTGTTGCAAAGGGGAGCAATCTGCGGTGACATCACTTTCTTCTGAGCCATTGTTCCCTATAGCCTCTGATTGTAAGACATAGCCTCTGTGCACGACTGTATACACCATATGTGAAATGAGTCGCACAGTATCAGATTTGATAAGAAAAAGGATGAATAAGTTCATGTTCTTCACATGAAGTTGAGGCTTTGATTGCACCTCTCTCGTGTTTGTGTTGTCCCTCCATTTGACATATGGGTGTGGTTCCTTCAGTTGGTGTTTATTACCCATTTGTGTCCTTGCTGAACTGTTGGCAGGTCGTCATGCATTTGAATATTCAATTTCTACCATTTTAATGTCATTCAGATCGTAGAACATCTGACAAAAACTCAGATCTTTTTACAAAACAATCGAGCCAAGCAGTGTTTAGACATGTTACTTTTATAAGCATTGTTACATCAACAGCTTTCTAGTCCAATTTGAGTTTCCTGGTGGACATTTGGCAGCATAGTTATGGAAATGCAGGCAGACATCAGAATATAAACGAATCTTATCAGAATGCACAAATATATCACATTTATACCAAACATGTAGACATGTTGATGACATGTACAATATACAGGAGAACAGTGCTAATGGAAAAACACACACTCTCTTTTGTCTCCACATACATCCCACATGGCTGTTTCACACTTTCCCTCCCGGCCAAGTAGACGCGGTAAACCATAATGTCATCACTGTCACATTTGAATAACACGCTCAGCATGGCTTTGGAAAATCTCGCTCTTGATTGCAAACTCATTAGATCTGCAACTCACTTATCGCATTCTTACTTGGGAATCCACTTTTGTACCTTGTGCAAAGAGATGATATCATGCCACATTAATCACAAACATAGCAGCTCCTTTTTTTATTGACACTCTTAATACTACTGACCTGCTAAAACTGACCAGATAGAAATATCCTTGGGTTTTTAAGTGTGTGCTGGAATCGTGTGAAAATCCCAGTAGACGTTGCTGTGTGTTTCTTTGCCCCTGATGAGGGTGGTTTTGACCAAAGACACAGACTTGGTCCCATGGGTGAAGGTCACAGTGGTGAGAGCGCTTGTGGTCTCCCCTCGTGTAACAGAGGTTTTTCCCACCGCTATGTTGGTGTTTCCCAAAGTTACAGTGGTTCGGCTCCAGGAGATCGAAGATTTACCCCAGGAGATGGCGTACTTAGTCCTCAGGATCAAAACCCTGCCTTTGGTGAAGGAGGTCTTGCTTGACGAGAATGTGGTTTTCCACTCATTTTTAGAGTCTTTTTTGGACTGTTTGGGTGTCTTATTCCTGGCTTCAGCGGTCCCTTCCATCTAGGTGTTCCTGCGCTTGGACATTAAGGCTTTGCGGAAGGAAGTGGTTGTGGTTCCCCGGGTGAAGCTTGCCCGTCCCAGAGCCACAGTCGTCTTTTGCCTTTGAATAGTGGAGTCTCCCATGGAGGTGGTGGTCACTCCCCTGAAGATGGAGGAGTTGCCCAAAGAGACGGTAGTCTTTCCCCTGGCTATGGAGGTGCTTCCCACTGCCAGGGCAGTCTTGCCCTCGGTGATGCTAGTGTTACCCATCGAAGCAGAGGCAGTCAGCCCGAGCCCGTGCCTGGATGCCGGCTCCTAACATGCAAGCTGCATAGCTCCCTGTAGTGCAGCAGGGTGTGCGTGTGAGGTCAAAAGCCAAACTAAAGCTTCGACAGCGGCTGCCCTAAATAGATCAGACCACCATGTATAGATGAGGGGGAGGGAATTATTTGATCATTCTTTGATGCTGGCCGGACCAAAAGGGACCTGGAACCACAGCATGCACAAAGCCTGAAAAGACAGGGGATTAATTGTATTGTTTTCAAGATAACATTGCCAAACCACTGAAGGGGTATATTGTGCAGTACACAAGACAATTGGGGTGACCTCAGTATGAGAAGATGGCGTGGTTCCCAAAAAAAGGAAAAAAAAAAAAAAAACTCCTGCCTGCTATTGTTGCAGGGTTCAAATACAGTAGTACATTTGTCTGACCCTGGTACAGTACACGGCTGCATTTCATCGGCTTGTGCGGCACACAACCAACTGAAAATTCAAATCCTGCACATATGTGAAGTAGTTGTACTTGTGTTTTTCTAATGCCTCTTCCTCTGTGTGCTTCTACTTCAGATTCTCTGTAAAGACTCTCCTAGAAAAGTACACAGCAGAGCCCATCGATGACTCATCAGAGGAGTTTATTAACTTTGCCGCCATTTTAGAGCACATCCTCAGCCACCGCTTCAAAGGTAACACTGCAGGTAACATATAGCACAGGAAAAGACAAATTAGTTAGTTATGACTTTGAATGTGAGACAGTGAAAATTTAGAGAGATTAAGATTAAATATAAAACTGGAATGAAAATCAAATGCATAGATTATACTGTAGACATTAACCATGGAAATAAAATTACATTATTATCAAAAGGGCAAAAACTTTAGGATTATACAGTGAATTATAATGTTGCTGTGGTTGCATGCCTACAGCGTGTCAGAGCAGGAATGATTATCTGCTGTGTTTTGATATTGGATCAGGTTCAGGAAGCTGGTTCAGTTCAGATGGACAGCGCAGTTTCTGGGAATATATCCGGCTGGCATGCAGCAAGGTGCAGAACAACTGCATTGCCAGCATCGAAAACATAGAGAACATCAGCACATCAAGAGCCAAGGCAAGGGTATTTGTATGCGGAAGTGTGTGCACGACTGAGTGTGTATGTGTGTGGGTTGTTGCTAGAGAGATCTGCAAAGAAGGCCCTCTGTTCCTACTCACTTCTGCGTTGTCCTACAGGGGCGTGCCTGGATTCGGGTGGCGTTGATGGAGAAACGTCTGTCTGAATATGTGTCTACTGCTCTGAGGGACACAAGAACAACCAGGTCAGACTGATGACTTAAAGGCACAATGACACATTTTTGATTTAGTTAATTTTTGCCACATTCTCTCTTCTAAGTGACCACTGCTGAAGGGATGCTCTGCCTTCATGTTGGCCACGTCTGCTCATCCTAATCACTCAGTTTTTCTATTCTTTGCAGATGTTTACAATATTAAACATACTCTAAAATCAATCATTAATTGACTGAATCACTGCTTTATCAGTATTATAAATGTTGTATCAGTATTATATCTGATGATAACCACTACTTCACCTGACAGGAGGTTCTATGATGATGGAGCCATTATGCTGAGAGAGGAGGCCACAGTCCTGACTGGCATGCTGATTGGACTGAGTGCCATTGACTTCAGGTGAAGACATGCACTGCATTAAATGCAGAGGGTTTCAATATATGTATAAGTACATACACCAGGGCTTTTTTGTTTTTACATCATCACAATTATGTGGTATATATTTTTAAACTTTTTAAAGTATCCTAAGCTAGGGTATTGTAAGCGTTTCTGGCCTGTTATATTGTTTTTAGGCCCCATGTTAATTAAAGAGCCTTCAAGTTGTAATATGGCTTTGAGTATAGCATATTTTATTTTAGATCTTACAATAGATTAGATTAGATTAGAATCCTATTTTTATTATTTTTGTAATAACAGTATAGTTTGTTTGTCGGTTATAAGATATATATATATATATGGACTTTCTCATGTATTTCTGTATCAATTATGTAAGTGAAAGTGCATCTGCCAGACATAGTGTGTAAAACTGGCCATTTAAAAGAGATGTTTAAACATATTACCTCATATATACAGAAGTATAGTGTATGCACTGTATACATATATAGCCAATGTTGTTTGCATATGTGGCTTCCACACTACATTTCATTACATTGATATTTAGTGATAATGTGCACACCCTTCAGAGTTACCTATCGTCCTAAAAAGAAAGTGATTTATTTCATCTCTGTTTCTGTGCAGTTTTTGCTTGAAGGGGGAGACTCTGGATGGGAAATCCCCAGCTGTGATTGACTACACACCATACCTGAAGTTCACTCAGAGGTGAGATTGACCCCGCTGATCCTGTCACTCAGATTTTAGCATCACGTTTTTGTGCATGTACAAAGCTGAAACACTGTTGCCTCTCTGCTGTGTAGCTATGACTACCTGAGTGATGAGGAGGACCGTTGCAGCGTGGACAGCAGTAACAGCGAGGAGAGTGTCCCAGAGCATCCCTACATCCCTCTGGTGACCGACGAGGAGAGCTGGAGCAACAAGTGTCGCAAGATGGAACAGAGGTTTAAGATAGTCTATGCCCAGAAGGTGACTCACAACAACTGCTAAAACCAAGTTAATTCTGTATAAATGCTTGGTGCTCACTATGGGCTTCTACACACACAATCCCTGTGTCCTCACTTTCATGTTGCAGGGTTACCTGGAGGAGCTGGTGCGCCTGCGGGAGTCACAGCTGAAGAATGTGGAGGCGGAGAACAAATGTCTGAGAGC